GGTTCTCCATCCACGTAGGAGTCTCATCCATGTTGGCGATCTGCGCCAAGGCGAACTTGGGACTCGGCCCCGACGGAACTCCAGCGCCACTCCTACCCCCGCTGCCTCCCGCCACTGCCCCCAGGCATTCGACTCCGTCCGCAAGCTCGAGCGCGGAAGGGACGTCGTACTTCAGCCTCCTCCACTCCTTGATCGCCTGCATGGCGATCACGGGCCAGCCGGTAGGAAGTTTCTGGCCTTGACGGGTGACGGCTCGCACAGAAAAGCGGTAGACCCTGAGAAACCTTCTGCACCACGCGGTCTTCTTGCGGGTGTACCGCAGGTTGCCCTCGATGTCGGACGGCGGCGGCCTCTCCCCGAAGAAGTTCGGGTTGAGTTCCGTGGCCTTGTTCTTGATCATCCTCGTCGAGACACGGGCGGAGATGCCGTCAGAACGCAGATCATTGATCCAGTCCACGACCTCGCGTTCGGCGTCCGTGTGCGTCCTAGTCCGTCCGACGTTCAGCGACATGCGGTGCTTGGCTTTCTTCCTGCCGTTCACTCGCGAGTACTTGGTCTCCTCCGCAAGCGCAGCTTCGTACTTGTCGACGTCTTTGACCCACACCGCCAACGTGGCCTTGTCGGAAATCTTGAGGATCCTGCTGGCGTATGTTACGCCAACAGTCCCGCCCGGTCCTTGCGCCCCCTTGAGCTTTCTCTGCGAATACCTCACGGCATTCACCTTGAACTGCAAGGTGTAGCGCTTCCTTTGGGTTCCACCACCATGTTCGGGAATCGGGACGTCCGGCGGCTCCAGCTCCAGCCGCCCTTTCTTCCTCTTGCCCTTGCGGCGTACCGAAGAGAACGCCGCCGAGCCCATCTCCCCACTCTGTCTCTCCGGAAACATCATGTTGCCGGATTGCCGTCGTTGGCCACCGGAGCTCCTGACGCTGGTGCTGGTGTGGGTGTTGCTGCTGCCGCTGCTGGTGTTGCTGCTGCCGCTGCTCCTGCGCTTCCTGATCCTGGAGCTGGTGCCGGTGCTGGAGCTGGCGCCGATGCTGGAGCTGGCGCCGGTGCTGCTCCTGATGGCGGCGCTCCGGGCGTGGAGCCCGCCCTACAAAAGACAAGAGTAGACATCATGTGCGGATGGAACGAAGCGGTCAATATTTGAACGCACGAAAACATGTGTCGTGTGGGTAGAAACCAAAGATTCCTTTCATAAAGTGCTGGCTGACTTTTACAGTCGAAAGGGCACCGTTTCCAATTCTCCAAATACCATTTGCGGTTGAAATTACCGTGAGGGTGGACAAAAAATTGCAAAACAGGCACGGATGCACCATCTAGGTACCGGTAAATCAGCGGCAACAATGCTGCGATAATTACAATTGTAATAATTTTACCATTCGTGGGTGAATTAAACACATGTGCAAAGCAGAGAACAACAACTGGAAAATTCCTCAGGTATGCCAGCTGCAAACAAAGCTGCGGTATTTCCGCAACACAAAACGCCATGCAGGAACAAAAATCATATATGCCTAGGTACACACACACA